CCCCCCCGTCTCCGCCAGTGGAGGGGCTTCTTAGTGTGTGGAAACCTTTCCTTCTTCACAGCTCCCTCCCACTGGTGCAGGCCCCGTCCCTATCCTTTTGTGTCTGTTTTTTCTGTTTTCTTTTGCCCTACCCAGGTACCAGGGGGAGTTTCTTGCCTTTGGGCAAGTCTGAGGTCTTCTGCCGGCGTTCAGTAGGTGTTCTGTAGGAGTTGTTCCACATGTAGATGTATTTCTGATGTATTTGTGGGGAGGAAGGTGATCTGCACGTCTTACTGCTCCGCCATCTTGAAGGTCTCTCAAGAGTAATTATTTTAGAAGGCAAATAAACAAGTAAATCCATCAATCCTCCCAGACTTCCCACATACATACAGATTAGCTCAGTCAGGGATTGGGACTACGTAGAGACAAATTAGAGAACAAGGCTGAGGGTCTACGATATAAATTGAAAAACCTCAAAGTATAGAGCACTTTTGAAATGATTTTTTTCAGATTACTTTGAAATAATTACAGGTTCACAGGAAGCTGCAAAAAGTCCCATGGACTCTTCACCCAGTTTCTCCCAGTGCATCTTGCATGGCTAGTACAATATCAAACCTAGGAACGTGACATTGGCACAAGCTACAGGACTTAATTCATTAGTTTTACATGCAATTTGAGCACGTTTTGAAAGCAAAATTACATGGCTGTCGATAGACCTATTATGATTTAAGATACTTGAAAATTTAACATGAAGCTCTTATGAAAACCTGATATAAAGGTAAGGGAAGGAGATATGTGTACTATACTTAGAGTTTATTGAAGGTATCTTTAGATACTAGTTGTCTTTTAAGCATTTATAAACATACAGGTCTGCACTATAGTATGGTACAATCGAGACTCAACATTCCTTGTGATATAACCTGATACCGTATTTCTTGAATTGTACTAAAGAGTTTTGAAATACCTAAGTTTCTCCAGAATCACTTTGAGAGGCTTAGGGAAGTCAGTATCTGCTATCTTCCATAATTATACTACTGTACTTAATTCAGAAGGCATCATTGGAAGTCAAGGCAGTTTGTTTAAAATCTAAAACGAGAACATGGCTATGTGTAGTTAGAAATGACAAGAGTTTCTTTTAGAAATCTTTTTGGGGCCTTGAGGTGGCTTGTCAGTAAACTGGCATCTAGAGCTTGGTCCCCAGCCAGATGCAGGACAAAATTCTGGGCCCACACATACTGGTCCCTAAGAAGTCTGCTTGCTTTCTTTTTGGGAGTCACTAGGTTATCTTGGGTCGCCATGCTGTTGCTTGTAGATTAGGACACACAGAGTGGCACATTTTAGCATGGGAGCAGCTGACAGGGGCAATGCTGCTGGGAAACGGTGCTAGCATTTCTAACTATGTATGTGCTTTATCCAGGCTGCAGTTCAGGCAAAATTCTTACCTCAGTGTTATTTGCCATATTTTCTTGGCTAGTTTTAGCAGAAATACCGTGCTAGATAGTATATCATTTCAGATAATTTTTTACAAACGAAATTGTTACAGTGTAATTGTCGATCTTAACGTCTCAACTTAGAAGGGGACATAGCCTGCTCCTGTGGGGTTTCACCTTTCAGGCAAATCATGGTGGGATTGATTTCAGGGGTGTGATGGGCGCCAGGATTGCCGTCAGCTAAACTTGCATTTTCACCCTCAGTTTTTGTTTTATTCTGATAGGGAGACTTGGCTGACTCTTTTTTCATTGTAGAATCTGGAGAAGTGAAAATTACCATGAAAAGGAAGGTAAGTCCTAAAAATCCATGAAATATTAGCAAGAAACATAATAGATTTTCCTTCTGATGTTTAGAGTAAGGTTAACTTTTACTTTTCTTAAGCTGAGTCAAAGTTAATACTTTCCATCACCTTGTCAGGGTAAGTCAGAGGCGGAGGAGAACGGTGCAGTAGAAATCGCTCGGTGCTCTCGGGGACAGTACTTTGGAGAACTTGCTCTGGTAACTAACAAGCCCCGAGCTGCTTCCGCACACGCCATCGGGACCGTCAAATGTTTAGGTAGGACTCACGCAGCCCTGGGCATGCTTGCCCTGGTTGAAATCATTCTGTCTTCATTGTACGTATTCATGTTGTACGGATTATCTTACTGGGTTCACAAGTTTTATGGTCCCCACAAAATACAACAAGGTTAGGATTCATTGCATTATAAAGTCGATTTGTAGAAGCCAACATTTTTCCTTTAAAAATTTTCACACACTTATAATTTTGTGTTCTTTTTTATAGGCATGAAATAACATTTTAGTATGTCGTTAAAATAAGAATCCTGAGTACCAAGTTTTACATCGAATTTTTTAAATAAACAACATACACTGTGTTCCTCAAAAAAAGAAGGCTCAAACAGCATTTTTATAAGGTACACTAAGCTTTGAAGGGCAAGCTGGAATGTCTGTAGGAATACTTACTCATCTTGTACTAGGAATCAAAGGTTCAAGCTTGTCGGAGCAAATAAAATCTTGTTCAGCTGTTTATTACTTGTGTACCACACAGCAGCTCAGCAGAAATGCCATCTTCAGGTGGAAGACATCTATATATAGCTGAGATTTTATATATGAGACATAACTTAAGTTTAATAATGAAAAATATAGTTCAGGAGATATCAGTATAGGTGACATTTTCTCTCTTTTTTAAAAGATTTATTTTTATTATTTATTTATTTTTATTTGTTTTTGGCTGTGTCGGGTCTTAGTTGTGGTGCGTGGGTTCTTCATTGCGGCACGCGGGATCTTTCGTTGCAACGCGCGGGCGTCTCTCTAGTTGTGGCGTGTGGGTTTTCTCTTCTCTGGTTGTGGCGCATGGGTTCCAGAGCGTGTGGGCTCTGTAGTTTGCAGCACGGGGGCTCTAGTTGAGGCGCGTGAGCTCAGTAGCTGTGGCGTGCAGGCTTAGTTGCCCCATGGCTTGTGGGATCTTAGGTCCCTGACCAGGGATAGAACCCACATTCCCTGCATTGTAAGGTGGATTCTTTACCACTGAACCACCAGGGAAGTCCCTAGGTGACATTTTCTTCAAGGAAATGATTCAAAAGTAATTAGCTACTCTGTGCTCTTGATCCACAGTTCAGTAGCATAAATTTAGCTTTGATGTTCTTAAGATTTGCAAATATCCTCAGAATTTTCTTAGAGAATTGACTTGTTCAAAGCTTTTAAATAATGTAATATTAATCAAGGGTTATACTTGGATGAAAAAGAAGACAATTAGAAGCTGACAGGTAATTTCCCTGAGTAGAGGTATTAGACAGTAGGAGTAAAGGCGATGTGAGTGAAATCCCATTAATATTTTTCTATAATAAATTATTATATTCACATTAAATTTGAGAAATACAGAAAAGGTAGGAAAAAGTAAGAGTCACCCAATACCGCCACCACCCAGCAATTTCCACGTCCTATTATAATTCCTTCTCTCATCTTTTTTATTTGTATGGGTTTTCTGTTTTAAAACAGTTTTGTAAACTGCTTTTTTCACCCGTTATAGCTTAGGCATCTTCTCATATTGTTTACATCAGACTGTAACATTAGGTAAATATACACATTATGAATTATTTAATCATTCCCCACTGTTAAATAATTTGGGGAGTTTTGGCTCCATTTTGGGGGGTCGGGGCGAGCTTTTTTGTGTGGGTGTATGCAGAGACTACTTTTCCACATATAGGACTTTTCCTGAGAAATGCTTTTTGGAAGTGGGTTTTCTTTTTATCATTTTTTATATATATTGCCAGATCACTTTTATTTGTACTTATTTACATGTACCAGGAGTACAACAATGTTCACTCTATTGTCAACATTGCCTTTTGTACTTCTGCAAATCTGAGAGGCAAAAAATAAAGTATTTTAATTTGTATTTGTATGATAGTATGATCATATTTTCATGTGTATATTACAAATTCAGTTTTAGAAAATGCTCGAGATAGGCAAGCTAAGCGACATAGAGCACATACTTACACAGTGGATAAAATCATTATTTTGGCTGCCGTTTTGAATTGACCATAGTGTAAAAGAATAAAAATCATAAAAGGTAACATTTGGATTCTTCACAACATAGCATCGTAAACCCTGAGAAGGGAAAAGAAGATAGAAAGCACCCCCTTGCCGCCCTTGAGTTCATATTACTAAGGTGGTGACATCAAAACTAGTTTATTTTTAAAATTCCAAGGTCTTGACATAACAGTCCCTCATTCTTTTAACGTGGATCAGGAACCTCCAATAGGACATCATATTGCCAAGGGACACTGGCTGCTTCCTTTTTGAAGTGGAATGTTTTTATCTTTATGCCTTCTTCTTCAATCTGATATTTATCTAAAAATGCCATTGCGTCATTGACATATGCGGAATAGATACCATAAATGACTTAGAAATTCTGCAGATTTGCAAAGAACGTTATTTTTCTTTTATTCTCCCCTCTTCTTAGCCATGGATGTGCAAGCATTTGAAAGGCTTTTGGGACCTTGCATGGAAATTATGAAAAGGAACATCACTACCTATGAAGAACAATTAGTTGCCCTGTTTGGAACAAACATGGATATTGTTGAACCCACTGCATGAAGCAAAAGTATGGAGCAAGAAGACCTATAGTGACAAAATTACACAGTAGTGGTTAGTCCACTGAGAATGTGTTTGTGTAGATGCCAAGCATTTTCTGTGATTTCAGGTTTTTTCCTTTTTTTACATTTACAGTGTATCAGTAAACAGAGTAGTGATTCAATAGTCAATAGGCTTTAACATCACTTTCTAAAAGAGTAGATCAAAAAATATCGACATACTGATAAAATGACTTTCTACTCCACAAAATTATGATTTGACTGAAAGGTTTATTCAGATGATTATAACATACTGAAAGTATCTGTGTTTAAGAAGATAATTAAAGGATGTTGTCATAGGCAATGTGTGTTCATTTTGACTCACTCAGATTGACATGTTATGACTACGCCCATGTAAGAGGGAACTTGGCAGTGAATCATGCTATACAGCATGGCATCACATTCTTTTTACAACTCACTATATATAGTACGTACAATTTAGTAATGTTTGTTTTCGAGTTTTTCTGGCTTGGTAAGTTATGTACTGGCCTTGGCCTATTGGTGAAATGGTATAAAACATCATATGCAATTTTAAGACCTTTTCTATTTTTGCAATAAAGTACCTTTTGACTTCTTTGGCATAATGTCAGTAACCTACATATTCCAGTGGTTTTAAGGACAGGCAATTTAGTCATTACAATAATAGGGAAGACTCTTTTTAGGTGAAAGGTCATTATTTTCCTCATAAAGCATCTATCTATGCTTCCTTTTTCCATTTTGCAGTTCTCTGTATTTGTTTTCTTTAAAAATTTGAGTTTGACATTTAATGTCACAAATTTTTCTTTTTTTTTTGCGGTATGCAGGCCTCTCACTGTTGTGGCCTCTCCCGTTGTGGAGCACAGGCTCCGGACGCACAGGCTCAACAGCCATGGCTCACAGGCCCAGCCGCTCCACGGCATGTGGGATCTTCCCGGACCGGGGCACAAACCTGCATCCCTTGCATCGGCAGGCAGACTCTTAACCACTGCGCCACGAGGGAAGCCCTGTCACAAATATTTTTAAATGCTCTTTAAACTTATATGTTGTCTTCTGAAAGCCTAAGATCTTATTATATATGCTAAAAAAAAAGTCTCCTATACCAAAAATATTTGGGGTCCTTATCAACATGCCCTTAAGATATCTCTTTGTTCTTCACTAGATGTACATAATACAATCCTTTGCAGACATCTTCTCCCAGGGGTTTCCTCCAAGGTGGGAGAAATAAATTTTTATAAGTAAAACATATATAAAGATAAAAGGAATTTCTGTCCATTCCAAATATACCATTAGGCCCTGCCACTTGCTTTAACGTAGACTCTCAGAAGTGCAGAATGAACTCAGTTGAATAGATTTTTGTTGACAATTGACATGCTTATTCTGCTACATAAAATGAATTTAATTATGTTCAACCAAAGGAATATATTGTTACATGATTTCTAGGCCTACATGACCCCAACTTCTAGAGAGATTAATTCTAACCAGTTGTTCCCTTTTAAATGAGCAATTTCATTTTGGGAAACATGTTTCAAAGAAATACATACATGGGTAAAAAGATTCTGTGGCTAGTGTGGTCTTACTAGAGAATGTTTATGGTCTTGCTTGTATAATGAAAACGTGGTTAAAATATGTTAATCAGATATGTGTATATAAGAAGTATGTAAAGTATACCTTCAGCCACATTTTAGAACAGTTTTAACAATTTTGCAAACTTTCCCACAGGAAGAGAGCTTACTACATGAAGAGGACTTGTTTTCTATTTCAGATTTTAAAAGCCATGTCTGCTAAACAAAAAACACAAAGAACCCCAAATTCCTCGTTCATCATTCTGTATTCTCAACTTTATTCACTTTTTCAGGTTACCTGTTTTGTTGCATAAGCTGATTGTTAACTACAAATGCCTGTTTAATAAAGAACTCTGACCAAGGCTGTAAATGCCAGTTACATTATTTTCAGTATTGTTGGTTATATTTAAAATTTCCTTATAATAAAGCACACTTTTATAGTAAAGTGTTTTCAATGAGTTTTCTTTGTTTTTTCCCGCTTGTTTCTTTAATGTGACTTCCATAGTGCACATTGTACTATGTGAAAAGCATGACAGAGATACGGCATATGTGAAAGGTAAGCCCTGGGCATCATGCAGCAAGGAAGTATGGTTCTGTAGGGCAATAGGATTTTAAAAATCTTAACTATTGGTCATAGGTGATTTAAATAGTTGTGGTATGTTACAGACTAATTCGGCCATTTAGAATAACCAAGTAAATCTAGCACACTAGGGAATTTATGTGTTAAAAGTAATTAAAACACCGCAAGTTTGAGTTGTGAATGCCATTATTTAATCACAGACCAAGAGTCCTTACTATGTGGAAATTCTCTGTTGATGTTTCATTCAAGGATGCATTATGTTGCTAAGAATTATGGGAGGACACTCTTTTAACACAAAGGTGCTTCCCTTTATGTAGAGAGAGAGAGTGTGCGTGTGTGCGTGCGTGCGTGTCCTGCCTTTCGATATGAACTAGGGCTTGGTGCATATACTTTATTTTTTAATTTTTTTAAACATCTTTATTGGAGTATAATTGCTTTACAATGGTGTGTTAGTTTCTGCTTTATAACAAAGTGAATCAGCTATACATATACATATGTCCCCATATCTCTTCCCTCTTGCGTCTCCCTCCCACCCTCCCTATCCCACCTCTCTAGGTGGTCACAAAGCACTGAGCTGATCTCCCTGTGCTATGCGGCTGCTTCCCACTAGCTAGCTATTTGACATTTGGTAGTATATGTCTTGGTGCATATACTTTAACATAAATACCACTTGTGATGCATGCTGTGTGAATGTGTTTGGTTCATTCTTTAAACCCTGGCTAGCAGACTATTTAAAATGCTGCAAGTGAAACATAGGGCATGAAGCAAGGAATTTTGGATTTTACTGAAATATGTAGGATTAAGTGCTAAGTCCTTTTCCTTTCTAAAGCATCTTTAAAATATGGATATAATTTTTCCTAATTTTTTTCAAGAAATGTTATATTTGTAACAAGGACTAGGTGGCCTTTGGCATTCTTAAAGAATATGAATAATGTATAAGCCTAGCGTGGTAAGTAATACATCTGGATAAGCTGTATTATCGAGCTTAAACAACTGAAAAAGGGATTCTCATATCTAAATAAAATGTTAACGCCTAAGAGAGAAATAGAACTATTAATACATAAGGGAGAAACAGGATTATTAATATATAAGGGAGAAATAGAATGATAAGGAATGCTGCCTTCTAAAATAAAAGTGTGAGGTACAGCCTCATGTTGAATATCAGACAAAATTTTGATGAGAAGAAATTGGAGGAAAAAAAGAGAAAGAAAGAAGGAAATTGGAGAAGGAGTTGAGACAACCTTACCTCTTCCACGATACTTTTCAAGACAGCAAAACTGGTTGAGCAACTGAAACTATATAGTTGTTAGTCTTTACGGGTATTTAAAAAAAAACACCTTGAAAATAAAATGAATAATGGAAATGTTAGCAATAAGGTAAACCAGGTATTTGTGGAGGACTTGTGTGCCCAACAATAATTATGAGAGGTTAACAATCCCTTTTGTATAAGTGAGAAAAATCAATGATTCCATCAAAATCATTTACTTTGTGCATCCATGGCAGAACTTATGGGCAATCGAGACCTCTTGCTTCCTCCTGCAATTCTTGGTCTGTCACTTCAACAGAAAAAAACCCCCACACAGCCTAAAAGTTGTGAGATATTAATATATTTATTTGGGGACCTTACTGAGGGCTACAGCCCAGGCAACAGCCTCTCAGATAGCTCTGAGGGACTGTTCCAAAGAGGTAATGGAGGGGCCAGGATATATAGGAGTTTTTGCTGAAAAAACAAAAATGTAGTCAGACATCAAAAGATTACTGCTAATCACACACAAACACAAAAAAAGATCACAGTGATTTTAGTGCTTTTCTATGTATGGGGAGATGCAAGAGTCTGGGCTCATTGAAATTATTCCTCTGATATATATCTTAATTATCTAGGGCCAGAATCCTGTTTTTCTCCATCCTGAATTCCCCTCAGGGCGCACCGGTATGGGTGGCACCCGTGGCTACTGGCTTGAGGGCAGGCAACATCCTTTGTTTACTGAAATGGTAGGTAATGTTTTTTTGTCCACACTCATATTCTCTTAATGATGTTTGTGCCTAGTATATAGAGAAATGTGTATAAAGGAAAACTATTTGACCAACAGATCTGGGTCTTCCTGTCCCTTTTTTATGCTCTAAGTTTGTAAATTTAAAGGTGCCTAGGAAATCCTGAAGAAGCATGTAACTTTTATGTAAGGGAAGATGTGATGGTGGATGATACGGAGGTAATTGTCTCCACCTTAAAAATGAAAGGCCACCTGTTTAGGTGTTGTTCCCAGATTCTGATTTAACCACAGCTGGGTCTTGCCGTTTTCCAAAAAGATTAAAACGTCACTGCAAAATGTAATACGTGAAATGTTCTGTTAGTACCAATTATAACTGAGTCTTTAAAGTAGATGCATTTATTACTCTAAATTGTGCAACAAGCAGGACCTGTGGGGTACACAACAAAAGCCTTTCCTGTCCCGTTTCTTGTTGTAGGAAAAGGCTTCAGCCTCCTAGACTTTCCCCGAGTTCTAGAGGGCAGATTCAATGTTACTAATTAGGGAAGGGAGGGAATGGGAAGAAAGAAAAAGTAAAGAAACAACAGTGCAGAGAAGGGGCAGGGTCGTGGTTCCTCTTGAAGAGATACACATAACATGGTACATCTCTGAGTTGTTCTACAGGAACTAAGGTCCCCAAGCAGGTGGAGGATGGTAACTTCAGGCTGAGCTCAAGATTCCTGAAGCCCCGCCCCATTACCTCACCACCAACCAATCAGAAGAAAGTCACACCCTGTGCCCTCACCTCAAATTTTGCCTTTAAAAACTCTTCCCTGAAACCCAGCGGGGAGTTTGGTTTTTTTTTTTTTAATTTAACACGAGCCCCTCATTCTCTTTGCTTGGCCTGCAGTAAACCTTTTTCTGCTCCAAACTCCGATATGTTTGGCCTCAAGGTGCATCAGGCACTTGGCTTTGGTCACAATTGGAAAAACAAAATGGCCTTTTTTC